ACTGTACGGTCTAAATTTAGTTTGCACGGTCTAAATTTAGTTTGCACGAAAGTTGTAAACAACACCATATAAGGATAAACATTCCATATTTGGAAAAAAGAATGTTACGGGGCAGATATTCAAATTCATTAGTCATCGATGCAGGCCCTCAATTCAGCTTGAGAGCCTGTTCGCAGGCTAATCAATTGCTTGTTAGATAGGCTATATTGTTTATCACGTACAGCACATTTTGTATTAAGAGTATCAAGAATGTATCTCCAAACAAGATCTCTTACCAGGATGATCCCATGTCCCAAGTGCAATACATTTTGTTGGGATATGCCTATTGCCCATACCAACAAATTCATACTCAGCATCTAAAATTAAAAATTACATAAAATCTCTTTAATGCACTGCATTTTAATTTTTTCCTGAGGTCTTATGATCCGGACACTAATAGTGCATACTACGTAAATTTATAAGCTTTTATATAAGTTACCTTTTGTTTAAAAGTTTTTATGAACATAAACTAGATAAGGATACAGTTCACAGGTTACGTTCATAAAATATTTTAAACCAGGGTGTTTATAAGTTATTACAGTGCAGTATCTTGTTGCCATGATCAAATCATGCTGTACCAATGAATATATTTTAACATACACACCTGTCCAGAGTATATCACCATTTGCATTCTTTGAAATGTATAGAGGCCTGCCAAGGATAGTGTGCGTCTTTGCTTCCACTGTAGTTGGCTTATATTGCTCCGGAATGAGCGTTGTAACAATTGATCCGCATTCTCTGACAAATGTCTTCCAACTGTTGGGATACAGTCTGGTAAGCAGTTTCATCACTTTGGGCATCCCGAAAAGTAAAGACACTGGCTGGTGCAACTGACTTCATTTCCTGTGCTTCTGAGGTATTAGATGCCCAACGGACGATAACTGGGCAACAAAAAAGGTACCAGACATATCTGTGAGCCTGTAGTGTCTCAGAGAAGATATGCAATTCTTACAAAAATGGAGTAGTCCAAAACCGTATGATCTGTAGTCTGGATTGTTCATATCAGAAAGTGACTTCTCATTTAAATTCATGTGAGCTCTTCGTTGGGATGATGCTTGATCCGAAGAAACATGAATGCATTTTGCACTCATGCATGGCTCCTTTTCAACATCTAATGTTTTACATCGATTACAAACTTCCCCCAGTGAGGCAAATTTACAGTTCTTCCCATTACCTGACAACAAGAAATTGCTGGATGCTTCAATGCACTTCAATGATTCAGTTAGCCCTCTTTCAACACTTTCTGCATCTCCACCCATGGAACCAAACCTTGTAAAAACATTGAGATGAACCTTTCCAGAGGCATCACAGATGTCACACTCATTAACCTCACTAACCCAAGTACAGTTCTCTGTAATAAACTTGTGCACTGCATTATTTCCTTCTTGGTACAACTCTCTCATTTTTCGTAGTTTAATGGTGGGAATAATACCGTCAAAGAAAGTTTCACCATTTTCTTGCCTGGGGAATGTACCTATGTTTAAGGGCATTCCATCATAATGTACAATGGTAAAGAATTTCTTTAAGCCTGGAGCCTTGAAACATGGTACACCATCGAGTGTGTTCAATAATGTTAACAACAGCATTAGGTTGTTCAAGTGTGGGCTAGAATTGTATATGGGTGTTAACTTTCTTGAATCTAATGTGCACAAGGAAGGCCCAGGATTGCAGTAGGAAACTTTTTGTGCAACAATGTCTCGATGTTTCTTTAGACCAAAGCGCTTACTACCAAGGTAAAACATATAACCTTTTCTCGTAGCAAGTGCAGAGAGTGACTCACAATAACTGTACAGAGTTGGCCATTGTTCCCAGTTAGTAACGGGGTTAGGTTGACTTAACTGTTCAGTTAAGAAAGCATCAATGTTTTGATATATCAAATGTTCCCTGTTAATGATGCCAGACTCAATAAGCTGATTGAGCCACTGGGTTAAATAATCCGTCTTAATTTCTTGCAATGACATTCATAAGGACACTTACATGAAATTACTGATATACAGCAAAAAGTGCAAAAGTACAAGTACGTCAATGGTAAGAATGTAAAATTATAATGAAATTCATGCAAATCATCATTGACCTACTGTAGATTATAAATTTTGACAATCTACAAGATGAGGACAAACATATATTGTGAAATCGACAGTCAATCTGAATGACCAGTTAAAGATGCGGTACAGTCCGATCTGCGCATGTGCCAAACGAGACCTCTTTTTATTTACAAACAGTTTATTTAGGTTTTTATTTCATTTTATGTTCTTGCAAAGCTTGATTGTTGTCTCTTGATAATTTATTATACTCTAGAATCATGAAAATATAAATAGTTGTCGAATAAAATTCAATATTTTGGATATCGAAATGTAAACAAAGCCATTGTTTACATACGGACTGTACCGCATCTTTAAGAGGTTCATATTAACTATTGTTAGTTTATATTTCTAAAAACTTGACAATATCATTTGAAAATCATCATTTCATGTAAGTGCCCTTAAGAAATGTCACGGGCCAGGACAACTGCCCTGACCCGCGGTGGAGTTAATAACATTTCCTGTGGTGAGACAAGTCCATCAGGAAGTGGTGCTTCCTGATCAAGTTGTTCTGCAGAAATAAAATTATTTTCCATCCATGCATTAAGTCGTTTAATAATGCTTATTCCTCTTGGATCATGGAAGTGCACTTCTTTGAAATGTTGAGACAATGATCGAAGTTGGTTCATTGAACTCAAAATCTTAATTTCCAAACAAACTGGGCAAATCACCTGGACTGGATTAAGGATGTAGCCATCATTTCCAAATATTAACTTTGCACCAGCTTTCAACTTGTCAAATTGCAATAAATACCTTGAGTCCTCTGATAATAATTGAGAGCACTGTTCAGTCCACTTTGCATCTACAAACCCCCTTGTTCGTTTTTCAGTGTCACTGTGTAACCCCATATTTCTTTTAATTTCCTCAGTAATGACTTCTTTTGTGCGCAATACACGTTTTCCATCCATTACTTGCAAATCAATTGTGTTTGGTTGCAGCTTGACTTCTATGGTTAACTTAGAGTAATCCTTGAGAACATTAATGGCATGCTGGAGACTATTTGGGTCTCTTTCTTCTATCTCCACAGTCACTTGTTCATCATCTATACTACTGGGGAGTTTATACGTAATGCAAATGAGATCCTTCCGAACATTAAAGATTTTTGCCACTTTTGTCATAAATTCACTTGTGGTCATCTTGCTATTAACATGAACCATCTTATAGTTTTTTGAGGAAATTGTCCTCACATTCCAGACTCTTGACAAAACTGCAAATGTACAATGAAAATAAATGGAATCAATTACTGCAACTTGAAATATGCAGATCGTCAAGTAAAACATCAGGCCTGACACTCAAGTTTACATACATGCATGTGCATATATATGTATAGGCCTACCAATTAAGAGTACAAAACAAGGTTTTAGTGTTTACCAGTCTTATCAGTGGTGGATTTAGGGGAAGAGTGCAGGGGGCAGCTCTTAGCACCAGATATTTAACATTAAAAAACATTTAACAATTTTGCTGGAATTGTCTGAACCAGTAGG